CAGCAATAGGTAGGTAGGACTGGGACAGACAGTGGCAGAGAGAAGGGCATTCCCCAGGAATGGGAGTATGAGGGGGGTACCAAGGGGGAAAGGGGCATGAAATGGACAGAAGGACTGAAGGGCAACAGTGGCAGATGGGTCTAGAAAGGCAGCCTGGCCCCAGTGTGGAAGACCTTGAATGCCAGGTAAGAACACTTGGGTTCCATTCAGTAGCAATAGGCAGCCAGTGCAGGTGCTGCAGCCAGAGAATGACCTGACTGAAGTGGGGCTTCAGATGATCATTCCCAGGACAGAGGAGAGAAGGAGAGATGAGGAGCAGAGAGACCACGTGCTCATTACCATCAGGAAAGAGGCAATGAGGGCCTGAATGGGAACAGAAACCACGGCACAGAAAGAAGGCCGACGTGGCAGGCAGGCAGTCAGCAACAGGGATGACTCAGTTACCATGTCCTAGGTGCTGTGCCAAGCTCTGAGGATACAAAAAAAAGGCAAAAACACAGCCCCTGCCTTCCAAAAGAGCTCAGAATCTCGCACAACATGCCAACAACTATGCATATACAGAGTAATACAGAGTCAAGGGATTCCAGAGATGGCATGAAGCACATACGTCCTAGGACTTGGCAGCTGATTGGACAAGCAGGAGAGGGAGCAAGGGCAGGGGGACCAGCGTGTCAGCAGAAAAGAGCCCTTTGGGGCAGCTGAAGGAGGCAGGACCGCAGGGAGGACGATGAGGTCAGCGCAGAGCAGAGCCGTGGACCCCGCAGGCAATCTGGTGAAGTCTCTGGACTCTGTCTCAGAATGCTGCTTTTTAAAAATTCATCACTGAAGGAAATGTTACATTTCAGTTAAAGGTTAGTGAGAAAAACGGATGTAATTATTTTCCGATTTGTTTTCCATGAAATATAGCCCCAGGTCCACTTGGGAGCTCATGGACCCAAGTGAAGAACCCCTGATTCGGGGCACAGTGAGTTTGAGGTGCTATTGCGACTACTAGGTGGGCAAGTCCAGGCGGCAGGCAGGTGAAGCTGTGTGCCTTGTGGGCAAGCTAACAGTTAAAGCCACCAGAGAGAGGAGAAGTTGACAAGGGAGAGAGAGATTAAAAGGTGAAGAGAAGAAGGCTTAGGGCAACCTTGAAGAGCAGCGGCCTTTAAAGGCAGGGCGGAGGCAAGCCAGGAAAGGGGACCATGAAACAGGTCAGAGGGGCGAGGAGCCTGTGAGAAAACAGTCCCAGAAGCCGAGGCAGGAGAGAATCCAGGAACATGCTCAGAGGGCCCAAAGCTGCAGAGATCAGCAAGTGGAGAAAAAGCCATCACTGGTGACCTTTGAGACACCTACTGCTGCAGGAGGACGGGGCTGGAAGCCACATTGCAGTGGGGCAAGGATCCAGGATGCACCTGGACTCAGATGGGGGAACCTTGGCAGTATACGAACCAGTATATGAATGAGAAGTAATATCTCTCAATGAGGGGGTAGCCACCCATTGCTCGAATACTTCCAATGACAGGGAGCTCACCACCTAACTTAGCAGGCAATGAGTGATGGGGCAGTGAATTTAGCTGGAAGTGTAGCAGTGACAGAGAGAAGAGAGCTAGATTGAGATTGGTAGTAAGGTCAGCACAGGTCACAGGGAGACCTAAACATGCTGATCACAATCTAGAAGCAAAGCAGATACACTGCCTCAAATCTGAAGTGAGGGGGCCTGGGAAGATCTCTCATCCCCCATTTCTGATTTCATGGTTGCTAAAAAGCAGCCTTCATTCACATCCAAAGGCAGGGACTCAGAAAACAAAATTGTCTGGCAAAGTCTCCTAACAGGAAATCAGTGACTCAGAAATTGAAGCCTGGGTGGCTCTTGAACTCAAAGGTTGCTGAACCAGGGACAGGCAGCCATCATAGTCGCAGGCCAGTCTGTCAAAATGAGTTATAAAGGAGGGAGGAAGCATTGTTTAGGGCCCTTGCACACAGTTGGTGCCTAATAAATGGCCTGCCTGTGGGCCAGCCAGCATCAGTCCTTCACAGACTCAAATTCTACTCTGTGCGTCCACTATGGAGTGCAACTCATGGCCCAGCATGAATTTAAGGGCTTCTGCCCAGCGCCAAGACCTGTTCCCCACAGCCCCCACCAAGGAGGAGGTGAGAACAGCTTCATAGGATGAGGACAACCCTAATGTCAAGGTCTGGCTCATCTCTGCCCCCTGGAGGTCCTCCATGACACGCACACACCCCCGTAATTACCTTTGTGCAGATCACCCTCACGCCCCATCACTCCCCATCCTGCCTCCTCCTGATGTTTGGACCAGTTTAGGACTAGGTATTCAGTTATTGCCCAGACAAGCAAAAGCATGAGTTCAGTTTTGTTTTGTTTTGTTTTGTTTTTTTAAAAAGGCATTCAATTAAGGGGGGGGGGGGGAAGATGAGGTGGGAAAATACATCAGAAATATTCTCAGCAGTCATTCCCCAACACCCTCTTCCCCAGCTGAGTCTCCAAAGTACATATGTCCATGCTCTTTCCCTTCCCCTCCTCCAAAAATCTAAGCTCTGTGAGGACCAGAACTGGTCACACTTTTGGTCTTGGTATCTCCAGCCTGGTTGATTGATTGGCCAATTGGTAGAAAAAGGAGACTGAGGCACCAGCTGACTTGAAATGAGATGTGCCTTAGGAGGGTTAGCCTCATGATGCAGGATGGCCAGGGGAGAGGAGGAAGGGTAGGGGCATGGAGGAGACCTGTTAGGACATTTGACATTTATCAGAGGAGACATGGCTCTAATGGGGGTGGGAGGGAGGTATGAGACAGAGTGATGAGGGAAGAGGAGGGAAGGAAGAAAGGGAGGGGAGGGAGACAGGAAGAGAAAGAAGGGAAAAGAAGAGAGGGAAAAGGTAAGGAAAGGACAGATTTGTAGAGGTAAATCAGTAGGGCTTAGTAGTCGATTGGATGTGGCAGACAAAGGAGAGAGGAGTTCAATGTGATCAGGAGGTTTTCTAGCCTGGGTGGCTGAGGAGGTGGCGTGGGAAGGACAGACACAGGGAAGGAAGCGAGGGCTCAGGGCTGGCAGACTGGTGACCATATCTCCCAGGGATATTGATAAGGGTTGGGCAGGTGTTGTCGGCCCAGACAAGGAACCTGAAGTGGGTCTCTCCCCTGAGAATGACCATGGGATGGGTCTCTCCAGGTGGGAGTGGGGGCCCGTCTGGGGATCCAGGTGGCAGCTGCACTGAGTGCCATGGACAGCCCTCTGGGCTGCTGTGTGGGCCATGGGCTCGAAGTGGAGGAGGCCTTACGGTGCCTGGAGGGAGGCGGTCCCCCGGACTTACGGGACCTCATCACCCAGCTAGGTGTGTTTTGGGAGAGGGAGGGAAAAGGGGAGAGGGAAGGGCTCTCTTTGTCTCCCCTGCTTACTGGCCCTGCCTAACCCCCATCCCCAGGAGGATCCCTGCTGTGGCTGAATGGACAAGCCCCAACCTTGGCCCAGGGGGCAGCCCAGGTCGGGGCCACGCTGGACAACGGCTCTGCTTTGCGTCGGTTCCAGGCCATGCTGGAGGCCCAGGGGGTGGCTCCTAAGCTGGCCCAAGCCCTTTGCTCAGGATCTCCTGCCCAGCGCCAAGGCCTGCTCCCCACAGCCCCCACCAAGGAGGAGCTGAGAACAGTTTCAGAGGGTGAGGAGAACCCTAATGTCAAGGTCTGGCTCATCTCTGCCCCCTGCAGGTCCTCCATGAAAAACACACACACCTCCCTCTGTGCAGGTCACCCTCATGACCCATCACCCCCTCCCCGACCTCCTCCAAACGTCTCCTGCATCTGCTCCTCATCACTGCTTTTGCTCTTCCCACATATACATTCTAAAACTCCCCTCCTCAGGCACCGTGGAGAAGATCCAGGCCCTGCCCCTGGCCCAGGTTCTCCATGAGCTGGGGGCTGGCCGAAACAAGGCAGGAGAGCCCCTCCACCATGATGTGGGGCTGGAGCTGCTGGTGAGCACAGGACAGAGAGTCACTGCAGGTGAGAGCCTGGGCAGGGGTCGGGGGTACTGGGTTCCTGCAGGAGACCTCCCGTGAGCAAAGGCTCCAGCCCCTGGCCCCTCCCTGGAGGGGTAGTGGGGACAGAGCAAAGACTGTTCCAGCTGCCTGGATGCCTGAGGTGCACAGACGTGTTCCTGCCACCCCCCTTCTGAACATTCACACTCCAGGAAAGGCAGAGACCATGAGTGGGGCAGCAAGCATTCTATGAGCACCATACCTGGTGCAGACCCTCACACACTCACCCTTACACATTCAATGTCATAAGTCACTTGACACATGCCACCTGAGCCAAACCACCGACTCCTCAGCGGCCTCCTTGGGGTCCTTCCCATCTGCCCTCCCTCCATCCCTGCTCCATCCAGACCACCTTGAGTCATGAGTATCCTGGCATCCCAGATCTAGACCTCAGAGCCCAGGTGCCCCAACCTCCTCAGTTTTCAGATGAGGAAACTGAGGCTCAGGGAGACCGGCTGACATCCAGCCTACTTGGCTTCCCCATCCCTTCGGGTCCTGGGTGAAATGGTTCCCTTTACAACCTCTGCCCTTGGTTGCCGATTCCTGGCCAGCCTGGTACCCTTCCTCAGTTCCTGGCCTGTGACACTGACCCCCCCTCCCCACTGAGTCCCCAGGGGTCATGCTTTTCTTTTGTCCCTCTGTGACACACTGTGCTTTCCATGAAGCAACTGGCCCAGTGCTCACTCAAGCCTAGTGTCCATCTCTGTACAAGGAAGTCTCTCTTTCCCTCAGGAGGCATCCAGGATCCACCTCCTTGTGACCACATCCTCTTCCAAACCCCTCCGGTCTGTGACTAGACTTGGCTGCCCCTTCTTTGCTCCCTACCCCCATCCTCAGATTCTGTCTCCCTCTCAGGGTCTTTTCCTGCCTCTGTTGGCTTTCATAAGCAGTCCTCAAAACAGAACTCTGATCTAGTTCAATTCAACACACACACATATTAAGTGCCTGCTGCATACAGCGCCCTGCACTGGGCAGCGAGGAAGAGCCAGCGCAGAGAGGACAGTCCCAGTCTCAGGAGCTCCCGGGAGAGAAGAGGAGGGCTGAGATATCAGTAGAGAGCTATGAAGGATGTGAGACTCTTGTCCAGTTCTTGGGGGCCAGGCCAGCCTGGGGGTGACAGGGTCTTTGTGAAGGCTAGGCTTTAAAGAGTGTGAAGAGAGAGCACACCAAGCAGAGGGTGCAGCAAAAGTGCCTGGCTGGCAACATAAAGGAACTGTTTGTAAGGGAGAGGTGAATGTCAGGACCACGGCAGACACTCACGGACTGGATGAGCTCAGTGTCAGATAGGGTGGGCGGGGTGACTAGGTGAAGATGCTGGCTCGGGAGTGAGGCCAGGACTGGAGACTCAGGCTTCAGCCACCTATACTAAGGTGGTCTTTGGTGAGTGGGGGGAGTCAGTGGAGAGAGTGGAGAAGGAAAAGGGCCAACGACAAACCTGCCTGAAGGGGCCTGAAGGGGCCAGCTAGGCAGGAGAAGCAAGATTGTCGCCCCAAGACAAAAAAGAATAAAAAGAACTCCCAGGTCTCTGGTTCATTAAGTATTCCCAGCCCGTTGAGACAGGGAAGCAAGTATTTTGACTCTGCCTCACCCATAAAGAAATGGGCAGGTGACTTGCTAAGGGTCACGGGGCATGCTCTATAGGGCTGGCACCAGTGCCAGGAGCAGCTGAGGCCCGGGAAGGTGAGATCTGAAAGGAGGCTCAGGAGGTTTCATGTGAAACGTGGCAGCTCCGGGGGAACGTGGGGTGTAAGCAGAGGGGCCAGCAGCAGGGTCAAGGGCAGGCAGGCGCTTGAAGGCCAAGGGAGGCCTGAGCCCCGTTGCAGCATATGACTGGATGGGAGGGGGCTGGACCAGTGGCTGGGGTCCGACTTCTTGCCCCAGGGAGGGGGAGACAGGGAGCCTGCGGCTCCCAGCAGGTGCCAGCATCAAGTCCGGAATCTCCCCCTGGTCCCGGCAGGGCATCTCCACCACCCCCTTCTTTGTGTCCTCTTTTGCGTGCTGTTTCCCCCCATCAGAATGTAAGCTCCTGGAGGGCAGGGGCTGTCTTTCTTAGCGCTTGCGGCCGGCCTGCCTGCCGGCTGGAGGTGATAGCTACGCCTCCATTCCCTGCCCAGGCACACCCTGGATTCGAGTCCACCACAAGGGCCCAAGCCTGAGTCCGAAGCACCAGCAGAAGCTGCAGGAGGCCCTGACGCTGTCCAGCAGGGAGCCCTTCGTGCCAGACCCCTGCTTCAGGGAGCTCATCCTCCCGCCTTCCATGAGGGGCTGAGCCGGACAGAGCCGGACTGCGGGCTCCGGAGGCGCCCTTCTCTCCAGGGCGTCCGGCCAAGCCACGGTCCCCCGCATCGGCCAGTCTGGCCCCCCACTCCCTCTCTTCCCTGACTTGACCTCCCACCCAGACCGGCTCTCCAGACACGTCCGGCCTTCGTCTCTGTCCCCCCGGATGCCTTCCAAACGGGGGCTTTCCCTGCAGCTGCTGCTGCCCGGGCCCCTTGCTGGGGGGGGGGGTCTTCTCCCCGGGAATAAACTGCCCATTTGGGCATGAACTCAGCACGGCCCCGCTGGTCCTCTCTCTGCGCACCCGCAAAGCCTGGCCCGGCTCGGGGAATACCACGTGGGCATGGGCGGTGACGTCATGGGCATCCCGCAAGCCTCGACCGAGCGTCCGAGGTCTGGTCTCCTCTCCTGCCGCCCCCAGCCTGGTGCAGGGAGCCTGGTGCGCACAGCTCTGTGCGAAGAAAGTGGGGGCCACATGCACAGAGGAGTGGGTATAGTTAGGAAGGCCTGAGGTCGAATCCTCAAGTGCCAGGAATCACCCAGGGCAAGTCACCTCACTTCCCTCGGCCTCAGTTTCCTTATCTGTAAAGTGGGGATGGGAGCTGCAGAATTGGGAGCAAGTACCTGCCCACTCAAGCACAGTACGCCGCAGGGGGCAGTAGGGGGCGCTCGCGTACTTGGACGGAGATCGGGGGGGTGCTCATGCGCACTATCATCGGCCGACCCCTCACAGTCGCACTAGCCCCTGCGCAGGCGCAGCACCATTTTTAGTCCGCTGGCCCCGCCCCGCACGCTGCGCAGACTCTTTGGCCTCCAGTCTGCTGCCGGCTGAGCGCGAGTCCGACGCCCATCGAACCAAACTTCCGGACTTGATCGCGCGTGTATTCGTCTCGCGACATCACAAAAAAAGAGCTTCCGGACGTAGGGCCTGCGGCCGCGTGGACAGGTGAGCGCATGCGCCCCCTTCCCTCTCCCCCTCCCCTCAGTCCTACCCCTGGTGCGGGGGGCGGAACTAGCCTCGGCGGGGGTCCTTTCGGACTCCTCGTGGCGTCAGCACTTCGACCCCCCCAGCCCAGGTCCCAAGTTCAGATGCCGGGGGTTAAACAGCAGTGATTAAGCGCCTACTGTGTGCCGTGCTCGCAGTCTAAGAGGGGGGAGACCACAGGGAAGCAGCCCCAGGCCGGATCCGAGGGTGGGGGTCACAACCGAGTCAAAGGCTCAGAGATGGGAGCCTGCATCAGAGGCCCCGCGTTTCTCTGGGCAGAACTACACCGCCACCTGGGGGAGGGGGGGAAGAGTCCTGCACGACCGAAGGCGGCCACGTGCTGTCGGGGGCCCCCTCATAGGAGGCGCTCCCCGCACCCCACATGCTCCCCACCCCCTGCCCCCTCCCATCCTCTGCCCCCTCCCCACTCTGCTCCTCCACCTCTGCCCCTCCCATCCTCTGCCCACCTCCCCTGCCCCCTCCCCACTCTGCTCCTCCATCTCTGCCCCCTCCCATCCT